TTAGTTATGAAATGTAAACCCTCTATAAGGCCTCCCTGTAGAACAAACACAGAATCCTAATGGGAATTTTCCACATTTTGTGATTTTGAAATAATGATTCAATAAACAAATTATAGACGTCACCTTCTGAAATCTGTAAGCTGTGCAAACCCGTTAGCCCTTTCTCCTTACCCCAAAGTTTCCAAACACAATAGTAGTTTCCAAACACAAAACTCTCAATGCAAAAGCTTCTCATTATTAATGAATAATATCCATTATTAATTTTGAAATCTTAAAATTAATCTCTTCTTCCCCTACATTACCAAGGCACCTCTGTACCTCTGGTAGAAGATTTATTGGTCTGTTTTGCACTAAAATTATTTACTTATGCATCTGTCTTTCATACTAGATTTTGTGCTCCTGTTCGGTAGTTACAATGACTTATTCATCTATGTTTCCCTTGTGTCCAGCACATTATTAATTTGTATTAATAAGAGGTGAAAAAAACCTTATTGAATTAAATTTGGCAGATGTTTTATGCATATCTATGGTACATGACAGTCCACATATCCAGATTTTATTAAATTAGGCTAAACCTAATCTTTCTACAATAAAACATTTTGGCTAGTAATTCCTCTTTCTTAAAAATCTAGAAACAGAAAACTCTGGGAAATAAACTAAAATAAATAAACCACCTTGTATTAACAGATCGTTGGTCATTTTGTGCCAACCCTTTGCGGCCCGCCTCGTTCTGCAATATACAGAACAGCAACTCCAGTGGAGTTTGTGTCCTGTGGGTTTCCTCACCTCGGTCACCACTGGACTGAGTCATAGGGAAGCCCTGGGGGCTGAGGTTATGGCTGCAGGCTTTGGAATCAGGCTGCCTGGTTTCAGATCTCAACTCTCACACCCACTCACTAAGGAGCTTTAGGCAAGATATTTAAACTATCAAAGCTTTATTTTCATTTTTTAAGTAGAGGTAGTGCCCTGGCAGGTTTAGCTCAGTGATTAGAGCTTCAGCCCACAGACTGAAGGCCCCGGGTTTGATTCCGGCCAAGGGCACATACCTTGGTTGCAGGGGGCTCATCCTTGACCCTGGTCAGGGTGCATGTGGGAAGCAACCAAATGATGCATCTCTTTCACATCAGTGTTTCTCTCCCATCAGTGTTTCTCTCACATCAGTGTTTCACATCAGTGTTTCTCTCACATCAGTGTTTCTCTCACATCAATGCTTCCTTCTCTTTCCCTCTTCCCCCAAACCCCCTCCACTGAAAAGCAATGGAAAAATTATCCTCAAGTGAGGATTAAAAAATAAAAATTAAAAAATAATAATAAAATAGAGGTAATAATAGTATGTATCAACAGGTTATTTTTTTAAAATATATCTTTATTGATTTCAGAGAGAGGAAGGGAGAGGGAGAGAGAGAGAAACATCAGTGATGAGAGAGTCATTGATCAGCTGCCTCCTGCACGCCCCTGACTGGGGATGGGGCCCGCAACCCGGGCATGTGCCCTGACTGGGAATCAAACCGTGATCTCCTGGATCCTAGGTCGATGCTCATCCACCGAGCCACACCCAGCCGGGCTCAACAGGTTATTTTAAAGGAAAAATGAAATAACTCACAAACATTACTTAACAAGCTAGCACATAGTCTGGTATCTCATAAGTGATTAATTAATGTTTTCAAAAATTTTTGAATTCTTACTACAGTGCTTGGAATGAAGTAGGTGCTCATTAAATGTTGAAGTAAAATGAAGGAATCTCATTTTCCTCTGTTTTAGGCAGTTGAAAGCCTATGATTACTGATCATTGTGTCATAAAATTCTCCTGATGTGTTTGAAATCTGCTTATATGTTCAGTCCAAGCAGGGGGTGTATCAAAGTATTGCTATATCCCTTTTCAAAAGAGTGATATGATATTTCCTTTTGTAAACAAAAATCAAACAAAACTGAGCTCATGAAATACATGTTTATTTAGCTATCTTTTCATTTTTACCTTTAAAAAGTATTACAGTTTCTCTGTGTGCCTGATTCAAAGTACTTGTGATCAAACACTGATGTGTGAGAGTCATAACAAGGTATTCTTTTTTTTTAATATGTTTTTATTGATTTCAGAAAGAGGAAGAAAGAAGGGGAGAGAGAGATAGAAACATCAATGTTGAGAGTCATTGATTGGCTGCCTCCTGCATGCTCCCTTCTGGGGATCAAGCCCACAACCACAGGTATGTGCCCTGACCGGGAATAGAGCCAGGATCTCCTGGATTATAGGTCAACGCTCAATCACTGAGCCATGCCAGCTGGACATCATAACAAGGTATTGTGACCAGCCTACAAGCTTATTAAAAACTAGCCATAGCCCGGCCGGGCGTGGCTCAGCGGTTGAGCGTTGACCTAGGATCCATGTGATCAGGGTTTGATTCCCAGTCAGGGCACATGCCCGGTTGCGGGCTTGATCAATGACTCTCTCATCATTGATGTTTCTATCTCTCTCTCTCTCTCCCTCTCCTTTCCTCTCTCTGAAATCAATAAAGATATATTTAAAAAACAAAACAAAAACAACTAACCATAAAATTAAAAAGAAAAGAAGCATAACAAACACCAGCACCATCACTGACAACAACTGCAAAATTACAAGCCTCAAGCCAAGCTGTCCCACACTATTACAGATCCAAGGCTGTAAAATTAATCCCCAAGTATTAGATTTCCAAGACATAGTAAACTATGTACTAAACTGAGATATGAAAACTAGTATTTATTAAAATAAAATTGGTTTATACTTGATACTACATGTAATTCAGAACAAACTAGAATACTTTGATACATTGTCTAATAACCTGCATACACAAGATTTGTTGATTATGGAAAGAGAGGAAGCCAAAATGTACCTGTCAACATCAACAAATGTCAAAAAATAACCATAAGATATGTTCCACCTTCACATTAGATGATTAAAACACCATCTTTTATAAAATTCCAATCACCTCCCATTTCACACACCATCTCTAATTTTACTAAAATTCTTTTTATTGGTTTACCTTTAAGATATTTTCTTAGACTATGTTGTATTTATGCACATCTATCTCTTATTCTGAAACTAGTATTTTTGAATGTAGAGAGATTCTGTAATAATATAGCATTTTTATATCAAAGCGGTGCTGTTAATGTCCATCAATAAAATAAAGTACATGATTCAAGGATGTAAAACTTTGACATAAATAAGAATAATTTGACATGGAGGATCACTGAATAGCATAGTAGTTACTTTGAAAAAGTGGTTCCGTAAATTAAGATGAGGTTAGAAAAATAGTATCAATTCTGAATTTATTGTGAACTTTCTGAATACAAGTCAATATTATTACTCTTTTTAAAAATTCTTCTAGTTTTAAGGCAGTGAAAATTCTCTTTTATGATATTATAATGGTAGATACATGTCATTTTACATTTATCCAAACCTATAGAATGAACAACGCCAAGAGCTGAACCTCATTGTAAACTATGGATTCTGGGTCATGATGTGTCAATGTAGGTTCATCCGTTGCAACAAATGTACCACTCTGGCGAGGGATGTTGGTACGGGGAGGCTATCCAAACGTGGGACCTGGGGATATATAGGAAATCTCTGCACTTTTCTCTCAATGTTGCTGTGAACATAAAACTGCTCTAAAAAGTAAGTAACGTTTCTAGAAATGTTAAATAATAAAATAAAAATTCTTCTGAAATTTGTCCTCAAGACAGCATGTGTAATGAGCTAATAATTTGAATGCTTTATTTATTTCTATTAGCACTTTTATGTGATTCTATTTACCTCACTGATACTTATTTTTTTCATTTCTTATAACTTCGAATGAGATATAAAGCACTATGTAAAAATTCAAAACATCTAATGGTTAAGCTTTTTGCTGAATGGAGTATTTTATGAGATAGCTCTGCTTAGATTAATATATATTATTAAAATGGAGACACATCTATTCCCCTCCTGGTGTGACTGTCAGAGACTGGTACCATAGGATCAAATTAGAGGTGATGGACAGTATTTTAATTCCTCCTGAGCTAGGCTTTAATCATTTTATTTGAAATTAATCTTACAAATATCACATATCACAAATAATACCAAGGTAATAAAATATAATTCAAAGTAGATAATGAGGTTATTGAGATTTTTCTCTATTCATGTATATAAGCAAGTAGTAGTGCCTACAAATTTGTTTCAGTTTTAGAACTTTCAAAACTATACTTAGTAACAATATTCTACAGGCCCTTGCCAAGGATCTAAATAATACTGAGAAGTATGAATGTGTTCTGATTTTTAAAATTTTTTTCTGTAAACTATGTCTGTAGTCAAAAACAAAATGCTATGTTCTGTTCAGATTGTTAGAAAGGTGAATTTACGTATAAAGTATATTAATTTCTGTCCCGTGGACTTGAGAGTTACTGAATGGCCGTAAGTAGAATATGAAACTCAGTTCCCTTGGCAGAGCGTGCTAGCAAACAAAGATGTTAAAACAAACTAGATTCTACAGACTAGAAGTGCTTAAGTTTTCCTATGCATTTATGCATTTAAAATTTTCATTTATATGAAAAGGCTGTATCTTATAGCAATGTAGTACATGCTGCTGTGAGGCAGAAATGCACAACCCTAGTCAACACACGCCCTAATTCTGTTAGCATTAGAGTACCCGAGTGCAGATTATTTCTTCTCTCAACATAAAGATGACAGAAAAAATATTTTTCCTTAGAGTTATACTCCCATAGTCATTAAATAGCAGGGAAAACTTAAAAATAGCCTAAGTAACACCTCCAGCGGGGTATATGCCAGCGCCACATACTCAAACATGTTAATATTTCTAAAATAAACTGTGAATCAGCACATCAAGTGGGATACATTTAGTCTATAAATAGACTCTGTTCAGTTTAAGACACATTTTGCTGCCAAGTGAGTTGAGGCTAAGTCCACTTCCCTCAGTCAGGCTGCGATACACTGGCAGGTGAGTGACACCCCTCTGTGGAAACGGGGCACTTACCCTGGCACATGTGGCCCCTCTCCTCAAAGCCGGCGGTGCAGGAGCACTTGCCGATGGGCACCAGCCACTCGCCCTCGGTGCTGCAGTACATCCTGGGCGGGTCGTCCTCCCGGGAATTGTTCACGCACGAGCCCCGCACCTCCACCAGCGACTGCGAGTCCATGGGCACCGTGTCTGGGAACATGGCCAGATTCTTCACTATGAACGGGCACTTTTTGAAGTACACCCGCACGGACACCAAGGCAACACAAGCCCCCACATCTTGAAAAGCCAAATAAAACCCCTTTTTGTTGACGGGGCCCACTTCCCTGACTTCAGTGTTGAGCTTAAGGATACGGTCCCCCAGGTCCATCTGGGTGAAGCTCTCATCAGCTGCAATGGTGTCAATCTTCGTAAACTGATGCTCTCGGAACTTGACCCCGTGGTCATCGTCCGACTCCATGTAGTACAGGTTGAAAGTCTCCTTGCAAGTTCCCAAAACGAAAGGAATGCTATTGCAGTCCCTCAGAGTGAACTTGAGCTCCACGTAGATCTTCTGAGCCGAGTTCCTGGGGACCCAGTTGGTCCTCAGCCAATTATTTTGACTGTGCTCCATGACATTGCACACCTGGTAAGTCCTGATGGGCGTGTAATGTTCATCAACACCACTGATTTCTTCCCACTGAAGAATCAGAGGAGAAAAGAGAGTCAATTAATAAGCTAAGTATGATGAATAAATAATAAATAAGATGGATGGCATCGCATAAAATGCAAAATACATAAGCTTAAGCATTAATGTACTCATTAAAGATCATGATGCAGAGCAACACTATAACATTCTTCTTCTTTTTTAATTTGCAAGGTTCTCTGAGTTAATTGACACAAAGTAATTTATAATTTTGATGAACACATTCAGGAAAAAAGTTGCTTAGTATTTGATTAGACCTGGCCAAATAATACAGGATCAAAACCTCAACTAAGGCATCTTTCACACACTATGAAATGGTTTTGTTGTATATTTTTGGATTGCTTTTTCTTTGTTAGTTATTTAAAAAGAATGAGAAAATACAACTGCCTAAATTCATCTTTATTAATCTTCTCCCAATTTGGACCACATTTTGGTAAAATCAATATATGGCAAAGCAAGGAGAATAGAAATGATGTGATTACCATGTATCTTCATGTATAAAATTTTTAACATAGTCATTTCAAGGAATACATGCTGGTGGACTATGAAAGGAAATTTGAAATAAAAATATAAACATGCCTTCTTTCTGCCCCGAAATAAAAAGAAAGTTATGCATGGAGAACAAAAGATATAAGTGTAGTGAACATTTTAATTCTTAATATCTTTTACCCACATTAAACTTTACATAAGCAAGAAATAAACTACTATTTGGGTTATTACTGTTATGGTAGTTAGGGTTACCCTAATACAAATGTTTTTATTGCAAAAACATTTAAAATGTTTCAAGACTTTTTAGAACAATGAAACTCTGCTTCTCAGATCCTTAGAAGAGGCTTTGAGAAGATTTTAAGTTAACATCAGGTAGTTTGTGTTACTTAAAGTTCCATAATTACAACAGTTTTTCCTACTGCTGCCAGGAAAGTCCATTTTTACCATGTCATTCTTCAGTCCAAAGCCTTCCTTGGCTCCCCATTACCTATGCAATAACTCTTTTGATTGGCAAAACTGGTTCTAAGCTACATCTATATTTCTCTAGAAGTCTGAACTGAGGTTAGTGATTACGTTTCACTATGCACATGCTATGTTCTTGTCAATGTGAACTCTTAGGCTGTTTTCAAAACATACATTTGATAGTTTTTGTTGTTGTTTGTGTTATAACCGCAAGTGGACTGTGCTCTTTTTTCTTGGATGCCTTCCATGCCCCTCTCATCGTTATTACATAAGAATGTATTACATAACACTTATTAAATACCACATTTAACTCATGATACATGTTAAGGTAAGTTTAGTTTTGACAATGCCTTTGCTAAATTTTAGAGCTCTTTGTATCCTCCATAGTACGCAACATAAAACTTCACTTTTTGGAAGATGCATAAAATTATTTTATCTTATAATACATCTAGAAATCATTCAAGGAAGTAACACATATGTTCTTATTAGATAATACATCTGAATTTCATAAATAAATAAACAAACAATCCTTGTGAAGCCCTTTATAAACATACTCTAAATTTTTCTCCATTAAGGGACTGGAAAGTTTTACATACTTTTAAACTAAATCAATGGCATTTACATTTAAAGTGTATTAACACTTTTTTAAATATATATATTTATTTAAAACACACAGAAATTTCAATCCATAACTTCTAGTCACAAAATAAGAGAAAATGTTAATTTATTAAATTGACAATAACCACAAGAAAATAAATATGACATTATTTGGTCTTTGACCTTCTTAGAAAAAAATAAATGATTTACATTAAGGTGTTTGAATTATCAAAACAAATTACACCAACACAGTTTAAAAACTTCTCATTCTCCCTAGCTTTCCTACAAACTTAAAAACAAAACAAAAGCAAATAAGTAAAAAAAGCACTATTTATTTCAATAACCTTGATCATTCAGGGTCTAGAATATAAAAAAGGCATTAATTTCTGGTTGCAGAATTGGCTTGATTGACTTCATTGTCACACCCAAGGTCCAACAAAGAATCACATTTGAACTATTGTAGAAAACCTTAGACCTAACATACAAGACACATTTATATCTTAATATAAAGAAAAGAAAATATTCACATTGTGCTTTTAATAGTCAATAATATACCATTTTTAACCGTCCACTCTATGAAACTTTTAAGAAGAAAAGAGCACATGAGAATCTCAATTCTGGGGATTTTACATTGAGATGCCTATAATAGTAAAGTCATAGTCAAAGCAAAATTAATGTAAAGTTTAATATTGTAAAATTTTTTAAAAGCCCTTGCCTGTATGGCTCAGTTGGCTGGAGCGTCATACCTTATATGGAAGGGTTGTGGGTTCGATTTCCGGCAAGGAAGGTAACCAAGTGGTGTTCTCTCCCTCTCCCTTTCCCTCTCTCTAAAATCAATAAGCATATCCTCAGGTGAGGATTAACTTAAAAAATTAAAAAGAAGAAGAAAAAGATGAAAGAAAGAAAATTTTTTTAAAAAGAGTGAACAGAGTTGGAGTTCCCCAAAACTCTGATCTCTGATGTTAAAAAGTCATCATCATGTGGAATCACCTCTATTACCGTTACATTGGTTCTCCACTTGGCATTGTAAAGGACACATCTAACAAAAACTCCAGAGAGTAAATGTTTTCTGTGGACATTTAAAGAAAGTTAGATCATGGACATCATTATTTAAAAATAAACCCATTGAATTAAAAAAAAAAAATTAGGTCAAGATCTCCTTATTAGAATAAATACGAGTTTGTGCTTTGATGAATCAATTGCAAATTTCTTCTGCTATGTATGAACAGCATTTTTAGTAGACATCAAACAGAGAAGAGATTATAGAGAGATTTTTGTAATTTGATGTAAAATATGATTTTAATTATGGAGCTCTCCCTCTAGTTTAATATTTTTCCTCTCAACGTTAATTTGGCAAGCTAGCCCAAGTCCTTGAATGCAGAGGTATACATTGCAAGAAACTAATGCAAACAGCAACACAATGCTTTTCATGTAAAAGATTGCAGTGAGCAATTATCACTTCATTAATTTGTAATGAAGACCAAATTGCCTGTAAGTGATGGTGGCTTACCCTCTCAGTTGACTTGCAAAAGCAATAAGTCACTAACTCCAGCATTTATGGAAGACTGAAGACTATAGAAATAAAATCCCTCAGTGAGCATTTTCACAACAGCAGCAGCTAAGCAAAAATCATTAATTAAAGCTGCTGTTGTAAAGCTCACACTTTATAATTTTAAAGAGTGCCCATATTTACCTATTTTCTTACTCCAAGAACTAATATGCAATGTTCATAAATTATTAGAGATACTATATTGCCATAGTCGTTGTCCCAAGGCTGACTCTGGGTGACATGCAGAATCAGGTCGTTGGAAGATTCTTGCTATTGATTGTCCTAATTCCTAAAGACAATCTCTGCAAGGATATCCAGCAGTAGTGTTGTCTTCAGTAGAAGTGGATATAGAACCAGAAGGAGCTCAAATTCTTCCTAAAGCTCAATTCTCCCAAATCAACAATTCGGATATTTAGCCTGGCTCTCAGGTTCTTACTCTGAGCATTTATTATTAGACCACAGAAGCCAGTCAGAATTCAGTGCCCTGTTTTTGTTTGTTTGTTTGTTGTTTGTCAGATTATACAACTGGAAATCAGCTGTATCCAGACTTCCTCTCCCTAGCAAGGTTATTCTGAAATCTATTCCCAGCAGCATAATCACAGTGAACCTCCCCATCATCAAAAGCTAGTGTAGAATACAAAGGACACTCTTGATTTATATTTTCTAGAAAGCATGTCATTGATGCAAACAGGTATTTTTTGGAAAAAATTAAATTTTTAATAATTAATCAGCATTTAATCTAATAAATATCATTCTGAAAAACCTCAAGTATAGTAATCAAGGATTTTTACTTGGTTATTTTAATTATTCTTTGGATACATTTTTAGCTACTTGCTAATTGGAAAAAAGGAGAAAAATATTTGCTTTTTTTTTTAAAGACAGAGAACCTTCAATACATTTTGGGGATAGGCTAACATGGTTTGGAAAATATTAAGAAAGTGAGAAAAAGTAACTTCACGGTTTACCTAATAAGACATAAATTCAGTTTCTTAGAAATCTGCAGATGAAAATAAAAAAATAATCACCAATATTCTTATGTTTCAATTTTGCTTTTGCATTTCAGTGGTTAACAAGGCACATTTCTGTACTTTAAAAAATGTGAATAATTAATTTTGCATTTAATGATTATAAGTTATATTAAGTTGGTTCATGCTGCTCTTTCTCCATTCATATTTCTTACTCCCAAGTTTATTTTCCTTTGTCCACACCCATACCCATTTCAGTATTCAGTGTCATCAAAGAAATATTTACACATTTACCACACATCAGCATTTTAAGTGTGGAAATACATAACTGCTTACAGTAAGGGTGTCACTGTCAACAGTCAGGCACAGATATATTTACAAAAGTCATTATGCTTCCAATGACTAATAAATAGTTTTTCCTTGCCCATTCTGGTCTCAAAAGTACATACACACAGATATATCTGTCTGTGTGTATATATATATATATATATACACATATATTTCTAACAATATTATATAAAAAGGTAGAGTAAAATAAAACAGTTGAGACTAATGAGGAATGGAATTGTTTGGTTTGGGGTTTTTTGTTTCTGCTACTGTAGATTTTTGGTCAAATCAGAAAATTACATTTGTAACCAGGGGATCAAGGAGCGAGAAGATGGAGTCTTGATGTTGGAACATCAGTAACATCAGTAACAAGATACAAGCCAGAGACCGAGACTAGAAATGCTCAGAGGGGCCTGCCTGGGGTGGTAGGGCCAGTATCTTGATAGTAAAGACCACTAACTATGCCCCTGCACTCATCTTTAAACCCTTAAGTATTTAGCAGAAATTTGATAATGGTGTTAGAACTGCCTTATTGAATATAGGGAGGACAACGCCCCAGGTTGGGGAAGGGTGCTGAGAAGAAACTAGGAAAGGGGTGGAAGAAC